AATCTAGTAAATTCAGTGCTAAAAGATGATTTCTGAGGTGCTTTACTTGGTATAGATTCACTATCCTGGGTCCCAACTCTAGCAGAGGTTCAGATTTGGCAAGTAACAAAAACCAGTTTTGGGTATGGAAAGTAAATTTAAAGTGGGACCAGAATGCTGATTTTGTGAATATAATATCTTGGTTTTCTCTGTTTAATCCTTTTGTATAATTTTAAACCAAGCATGGTTGATGTCCAGTTTGAACTTGCTGTTTAGGACATGAGAAGGAAGGGTATTTGCCTTTATTATTAATTTTTCTGGCTGTTGGCATGCTTTACAATCTAAATGCCTCAAAGCTGGTCAGGTTTTTCCAGTCATTAGTTATATCCACTTGTACACAATCCTATCCACTTTTTGTTGTAATGCAGACACTAGTGTTTCAACTTCAAACCAGAAAAAGCACTCTTTAGCAGCTCTGTTAGAGATGTAATTTTTTTTTTTTTAATCAGATTTGAGGCTCAAGTATTTCAACTGAACACATCAGCTAAGGCATATTTTTGTCATACTGGTAGCAGTGTTGCCTTTTCAGCTCAAGAGTCATTAATTTTTGTTCCCTGTAGAACTTGGTCAAGGCCACCAGTGACACTCAGAAGCAGATAAATCTAGTGAAGCTCCATGAACAGTCAAAGAGGAACTTGGAAAGTGAAATCCAAAATTATAAGATTGAAGCTCAGAAACAAAGAAAAATTATTTACCAATTGGAGAAGGAGAGAGATTCCTTCATCAGTGAAACCAGTGAGCTCAAACAGAAGGTATGAACAGATTTGTGTGCAAGTGATTCTTTCCTGTCTTACTCTCAAAACTGTAAAGATGCTATATTCATTTCCTAACATGCCAGTGAGAGGAAGCTTAGATCAGTGGTCTTCACACAGTTTACACAGATTTCTTCTTGTCAGCGCGTATTGCCTGCTGCTGTTTTGATCTCCCTGGGGGAACCACATCAAGGGGTGTGTATTCTATGAGAGACTTGGAGTACAGCCATGTGTTTCTCTTATTCAGTCATCATTGGGGAAATTAAACTAGAAGTGGAGTTCAAAGTAAGGCCTCTGACTTCCTATACCCAAATCCTACAAATGAAACTCTCATATGCAGTTGGAAATTACTCTTTGGTTGTTCTGTCTTATCTGCAAAGGACCTTATCATGCCATTGAGGCCAGTGAGAGATGACCAAGCTTGACATCTTTGTAAGAGACAGCATTTTGAAGGATTACTCCCATTATGTGAAAACATCTGAACATGTTCAAGCTAGTCTGCAAACCAGAAGTCTTCCAGGAACAGCTGCAGAGAAACACTGCATAAAATTTGTCTTGCCTGCTGCGCATTATTATGTATATCTTCATTCCTGATGGTATACTCGGGAACATGGCTGTAACATGTTCCATTAATTGCTGAAGATCACATTGAAGGGCCCTCCAAGAAGCTCATTGATTTACTGAGATTAGCTTTCAAGCTGTTTCAACTCACAAGTTATTTGCTATCTCTTCGAGTTAAAATGATCCTTTCTAACTTCATGTGACCAGCAGCTTTTAAATCAGTTTTTGAATGGTATATACTCCCTTGTCTGGATTACCTTTTGTCATTTCCTCAGAATAATATTCCATGAAAATGAGATTTGTCTTTGTGGCAAAGTCCTATTTGCATCTTTTCCTCATAGTGCATTTCTAACAGTATAGATATGAGTTAAGAACATTGTAAACTAGGGCGAGGGAGTAATTCATAACACTCAGAACTACAAGGCTCTTGCTTTCAATTCTGATTAAGGTTGCTCACAGTATTTTGAGGGTGAAAATGACAAATGTTTGCTTGCTTACTTTTTCTTTTTTTTTTTCCCTGCCACTTTGAGTGCAAATTTGCTGTCACTTATTATAAGGCAGATTCTCAGTAGATGGATTATGGCACTTGTGCTGTTTGTATAATGACGCCTGCATTGTGATTGCAAGTTTCTGAAGGACTTGCATGCTTCTGTGGTTCACTGAAGGGGCAATTCCTGACTCAGCTTGCACGTGAAGAGCAGCAGGAGCAGTTCTGAGCATAGACATATGTGAGACAATAGTCTTTTCCCTGCAGTGGTTCTCTACATGAAATTATTGTTTGGAAGGATAAGACAGGACAGGAGGACATAGGATCAGGATTATTATATCCACTAAGTAGTATTTAGGTTCACTGTATGACCTATGCAGACTTGAGAAACTGTGGTAAAACTACAGGAGCAATTTCACAACTGGTGGGGAATGAGCTTCTGATGGGCAGTAATCATATGGCCAGTCAATGCTCTTCTGTCACCTTTTACCATCAAACTAGGTATGAAGAAGCTTGCTGCATACCGTCTGAATTGTGTAAGGGCTGGTAAAGAGCCAAACTGATCTAAGTCCAAAGACTTCTTGGAATTCCTGTAAGGCAGACAGAGCCATGCTGGCTCTGAAAGCTGTCTGCTTATTTACAGCAGGACAGAATCTATAGAGCTGCAGAATTCCTCTTTTAACATTGTCTATAGAGCTGCAGAATTCCTCTTTTAAAATTGTCATTTAATATTTAGTAATTGATTAACAAATCAGCAAAGTTATATCCACAACAGTTGAATATTTTAGTGGTGCAAACTCATGCTAGATTTGCTCTTCTAATTGTTGGCTTGGCTGACCGCTCGTTTGTACCATTTTTAAGCCAGTGTCACTTGTTGAATAGTCTTAACTTTGAGATTAGCCAGCACAAATGAGAAGAAAATCTGGCTCTTTGCTATGTAACCTGTGCTACTGAGCTACAAATGTTAGTAGCTTATTTCTTTTTTTAATTAAAATTCTTAGAGTATGAAATCTTAGTTTCCCTGTGGGAGGTTTAGGCTGCTGGAAAGGAAGAAGTGAAGTACAGCCTTCATTCTCACCTGAAGTGTTCCCTAACTGCACCTTATGAGAGGTCACAAAATGAGTCCTAATACGTTGTTTTCTTCAAGAAAAAAAAAAAAGCCATTTACAAAGTTCAGGTTACAGTTTAACAACATAGCCAGGAAAATAAAAAAAAACCCCAAAACCAACAAACAGCCCACCCCATATTTCTTTTTTTAAATTCACATAATCTTTGGAAAATCTAATGCTCAACAGACACACGGCAGCCCTTCTTGGAGTGGTTGGATAAAGGTGAGAAAATAAGGATGGCACCTTTACTGAGGTCTTGAGTAGGTTCATTGAATTAAACAGGCAATCAACAGTAGCTGATAGTTAAGTGTACAGATGAAAAAACTGTGGGGGTATAGAAGAAAACTATGAATATCTAATACCTTCTGCTTAGCTTTGGCCCCTCATTGTGGAATCTGAGAGGCGTAGTGTGAGGATGCTCCGCCTCCCACAGCGCTCTGTTGGGAAACATTGCATGTATATTTTCTGTATTTATAAAGGAGAATTATTTGGGTTTAATCATTCCAGAAAAAGCAGACTCAGCACCCAACCTGTGAGCACAACTCAAAAAACTTAGTCCACAAGCTTATTGTGCTTATACTGTATCAAAACCAAGTAAAAGACTTACAAATGCAGTGACCTACTTTCAAATGTTACTCTAGCCTGTGATCACCATAGAGCAGATAGAATACATGCCTCATTGATTTCTTCTCCCTGCTATTACTATTGGCAGGTTGTTTTAACAGAAAAGGAAAAGGCAGGAGTAGGTTATAAACTGGGACTGTGTTTTTGTATTGCACTGTAAGCAGTTCCTTGGATCCTCTGCAGTCAGCTACAAATGTGCTGGAATTGTATTCCTGCCACTGTAATAAAATTTTCTATATTTAGCTATCCCCTATCTTCAAAGTTGGTTGGAGATCAATTAATTAGGCTCATCCCACATAGATACGCCTCACAAGGGTTTACTGCTAACCAAGGGACAACACTGTCAACCACAAACTTTGCAGTTATTGATTATTTGATTTTTTTTTTTTTAATTCTTCTGCTTTGACATATGAACCTAAATCTTACCTCAAACTGCTACTGTCAAAAGGAGAGTCAGGAAAACTGAGTATGAAATGCAGTTGTAAATGGACTTCTCCCCTGGATTTTGTCTATGTGATTTCTCAGCTTTTTTCTTTAATGCTTCATCTTTTCCCCAGCTTTAAGGGTGTCATTGTTTTCTCCTCTGGACAGTGAACCTCAAAAATTATGTTCTTGATGTGTGTACTCCTTAGTTTTCTTCTTATTTCTTTTACTTTTCTTTGTTTTCAATGCTGGATTCTGTTTGAATGCTGCTTTTTTGTGCTCCTCGGCTTTCCACTTTGTATAGCAGGAGGAAGGTTCTTATGTTTAAAAACAAACAATTAGGAAGCCCGTCATAACAATTAGCAACTATTTGCATTTTTGCTCCTTTAACATAGTAATTCTTATGAATTGTTGTGTAACTGTTAATAAAGGTGCTTGTAAAATTTTATGTTTTTGCTTATTGATACTGCATGAGATCATCTTCTTTCTATAGTCTACAGTACTCCATTGTCTTTAGGTAACCTTCACAGTATTATTTCTAACCCTTCAGAGAAGCAGCTAATGGTGATTACCTACTTATTTAGATCAAGTGTAAGTTACCTTAACCGGCTTTCTTATTATTATAATCATACATCAGCTGTTTGTGATCATGTGTTCATTAAAGAAAAGTTGGGTTGGTTGTTTGTTAGAATATAGGAGCACATGCAGATCTTCTTGGGAAAACCTGTGTGGTTTTATTCATCTTATCATAAAGCTGACAGGCAAACCAACATACAAAGTCTAGCTTTGCTGTGTAAATAACCTGATGCTATTCTTGATGAAAGCAGCTTATATTGATTTTATTGAATCTGCTCAGTGGCAATATTTTCAGTAGCTTGTTTTTAAATTACATGTTTTAAATTATATGTGTGCACATCTTTAAGTTTTAGTCTTGACCAAAACCTAGGATCAGATTAAAACAAAATTTTGTCCCACATAAACAATCCAGGAAGCTTAAACTTTTACATGGACTGAAATGTTTTTTAGCTGTAGCTAAAACGTCTTATCACAGGGGTCTGAACTTGTCATCTTAGAAGAAAATCATAAACTCTGCCGTATCCTTATAATCTTGTGATGACAGTTTAATTGTGTTCACTTCTTTCTGCTCCAGGTCCTCCAGAACCTGAAAGATATTGAAATACGGGAAATGCAGATCTGTGACTATGAGAAGAAATTAGAAGAGTCTACAATTAAACTTAAACAGGAACAAAGTCAGTGTGAAGCTGTGAGAACAGAGAGGAACCTGTACAGTAAAAATCTGGTTGAAGCTAAGGTAGAAGAATACATTTTTCCTTTTCTTTTTCTCTCTGCTTTTGTTTCTTTCCTGATCTAATTTTAATTTGATAAAAAGAAAGCTCACTGGATCAATGACAGAAGTGGTTTCTTCATTCCTGTGTGTTTTGGGGAATGAATGTTTTAGGTCCCTGACATTTTATCTGGACAGTTTGTATTTGGAGTGGAAATAGGAATCCACAGTCATCATATGGCAATTTCCCTGCTTCAAACCATGCATAAAATCACAGTACACTGGAGCTATGGTATTACAAAACCCTACCAGAGAAGAAGCTTTTTCCTTTCCGTTCTAGCTCCACTCTGTTTATTCCTTTAGGAGTTGTCTGCATTTATGGGAAATAGGGTATAAGGGGAATAAGATTGCCTGCTTAGCCCTGAATGTGTATGCACATTACTGTGAATCATGATTTAGAAAGCAGAGGGAAAACTTTCCCAGCTGAAGTGAAATTTTCTGACACAAGGCTTCCACCTCACTTGTTCCTTTCAGGGAGTGTAATATTCCTCAGCTAATGATGCTCTCTCCATTCATATTTCTTCCTTGGGGATCTCAGTAACAATACTAGAAGAAGAGAACAGATCCCTGTCTGTTATTCTGATGTAACAATCTAAAATACTACACAGATCCTATTGTAATCATCAGCGATTGGGACCTTGGACAGCCGTGATTTACAGCCTTGGGTTACTTCAGAATAAGGATTTATAACATAGACATATACAGTAGATCACAAATTTCTACTCTGTTTTGAATAGGTAGGTGTTTTCCTTGAGAAGCAGATGGGAACGAACTCTCCAAGTTCCTATCCAACTGTGTGCTGAATTTGTTGAGGAATGAACCATTTTGCCATTTATGTGGGATGCTTTACTTGACCTTTGTCTGCCTCTCATCAGTGGATGTGGTGCTGGGATTCTTGCTGCTCACAAGCAACCTCTCAGGAGAAATGAGGGTGAAAAATTGCAACACTGATTTTTTTTTTTTAATTTTCTTTTTAAACATACAACATAAATTTGCTTACTTATAAAGAACTGGCATCTAGGTGCTGAGTTCCAAAATGAAGCAATGAACTTAGGAGCCTTTTGGGGTTTTGAATGTTACATGGTGATATGCACAATGCTGTTCACGGTTCTGGGCATTAGAGGCTGGTCTGCAGACTTCAATAGCTTACTTGGCTTACCATAAAACTTTTTCAGCAAGTCCTGTGTGAGGAGGTAGCTGATCCTAAAAGGTCTTGTGGCCAAGGCAACATCATGTGTAGCAGTGAAAAAATAGCCATTCACTGTTCAGTAACAGGGCAGCCAGCCATGAAAGGAAAAGAAAAAAAAAGAGGGTTGTGTTAAAAATTATGGTAAATTCCTTTTCCTTTTGGGAAGTAAAAGAAATTTGCACAAGCTTGTTTAGATAAAACTAGATGTAATTATTTTCGGATTGCTAATGTGAAAATAACCCGTTGCCCACGTTGCTAGTGACCTCCACAGTACCATAATGTTCAGCTCAGTAAAATCTCTTGGAAGAGACATTCTGGCAGGCTGTTAATATGGGATTAATATCTGATGCTTTTGTCTTTGGGATTTCTTTTAGTGTTAGGAGCTCATTTGTTTAAGCAAGTTTATTAGGAGACCTGCTTGCAAAATTGTGTGTTCTTACTGTTCTTCATTAAATATAGAATTAAAAAGGTATTTGTGTGTATGTCTGGGCACCATGTTTTAAATCTCTCTCATATTTTACAATACTGAAGAGATTTATAAGCTATTTATCAATGACAACTTTTAATATGACTTTTGCATTCACAGGAGTGACTGGACATGCAAACAGGTAGGCCTAATGACATATTGCTATCTTTATTTCTGGTTCATTTAATTTCCCAAATAAATGTGGAATCCATGGATTTTGGTTTTGAGGACTGTTGTAGTAATCTGCACTTTCTCTGTAGTGTTTGTGAAGACTGCTATGACTCAAGATCTTGCTTAATTATGTTAAGCATTTCATGCAACAAAACATCACTCTCACGTCAAGTAAATCCATCCCTATGATGAACAGTGTTGAAAGAGCTTTACGCAACCATGGTTTTGTACTGAGATGTTCATATTCACATCAAAGGTTATGATATCTTCTCTGTGAGGTGGCAGCCTCTAGCAGAGGAGTAATAGCGTCTAAAGCATGCCTGTCTAAGCACTGAATTTATTAGCTTCCATTTCATGTTACAACATGAGCCATCACTGCAATGAGTTGAAACAGGGTTTTTTTTGTACAGGCAGGCACCTCTGTGCTGTGAGTGGAAGTATTCCTAGTGACCCAATCTCTCTGCATGCTACCAAGCTTTTTGTTCTGTGTTTTGAGCTTAAAATATTTGCTAAATATTCTCCTATCAGGGACTTCTCTGAGCAGTCTTTTCCCCCTTCCACCTATGTGCAAGCTAGCACATAGGCAAAATGGAGACAAGCATTTCCTATACTCCCTTACAGACATATAGGTATCTTATTTATGGTTATGTTCATTTGCACAATCGAGCAGCTTGTCTCCAAATATTTGTGCCCAACTGCATACAGCATTATTGAAAAACACATTACTAGAAACATGGTAACAGATGGAGAGGATCAGAATCTCATTAATTTGGATTGACTGCTAGTTCTTATTGTGTGTCCAACACTTTAAATAGATTATTATACTCATAATTGATGGTCATTATTTTTGTCAATGTATCTTCTAAAGGCTTTTTTATTGCAGTGTCATTCTGGCATAAATGAAAAATTGTCATTTAATGAAACTATTTTGTTCTATTGGATTAAAAAGTAGTATCTTGTCGTACACGCAATATATCTCCTCCCAAGCACTGTGGCTACATTTTCCAACATCTAAATAGCCCGAACTCACAATCACAAACTTGCTCTTTTTTGATCCCTCTCCGTAATCACACTTTCTGTCCTATTAGGATGAGATATCAGAAATGAAGAAGAAATTTAAATCTGTAATACATCAGATGGATCAGCTGAAAGAGGAGATCAAAAACAAAGACGATGACCTTGTAAAAGCACATCTAGAAAATCAGCGAACAGAGAAGGAGAAGGAATTACTGAAGGTAAGAGCCTTTACACATACACCTTGTTACAAAGGATGGTTTCTATGATTTCACAGACTGCATTGTGTTCCTGATCTGTGGTGGTTGTTTTGCTGTATTTTGATAAGCTATTCTATAACTGAAGCACAAGATCCCTTACACTGCAGAGATATTAGTTACACCAATATTCTACGTATCTGCCAAATTTAATCTTTGCCTATAATTATAATACAACAGATCCTGGTTTGTCTGTTGGAAGCTTTAAATCTCTTGGTGATTAAACAGTTTTACTATAAAGTTTATTTTGCTTGCAGAAATGTGGGTTTTGGGGATAGGCTGATTCCAGCAAACTTTTGATATAGACCCTTATAATTCAAGTTTTTCTTTTTAAAAACTTTTTTCTCTGTGCTGTTTTTAAGTGCAAACCCCATTATATTACACTTCACAATGTTGTATTTCTGTGTGACTAGCAAGCATTAGTCTTCTGGGAGTTAGGCAGTGCATTTTAGTAGGTCCCTCTGCACAGAAAGTTATTTTAATATTGTGGTATAAAGCAGCAAGAATCTGTTTTAATTCAAAGGAAATCTGAGTTTAAAGCTCTCTCTTTCTTCTCAGCATTGGCTGAAGCCCATCCCTAGTTAAGCTGTTAGATTTGTGGCGATATCTCAACCCAATTTACTGCACTCTCAAAAGAATGAAGGAGTTAGTGGTCACAGCAGCTTATTTTTTCTCTTCACTAAGCACTAGAAACCACCCCCTAAAACCTGGAAACAAACAACATCCCCCAAAACCAGAATTCCCCTGCCACTTTCCAAAATATTTTCTTTTGTCAGTTTATTGCTATATTGCAATGACTCCTTGAGTTTTCAGCCCTTCTCAGCACATTACAGCTACGACAAGATGTCAATAGAGCTTTGTAAAAAGGTGATGAATTTGTGTTCTTGTACCTGATCTGTCTCAGAGTTGTTCTATCAGTGATGGAGAAGTCAACCTGTCTCATTTCCTGTGTACAGCTTTCTGCCTTAACTAGTCCCCAGTTCTGTCTGATCATCTCAGACAGAGGTGCCATCCATTTGACAACAATATGATTGCTAGATGGTTTACCCACACAATTATTCACTAGCAAGTATGTCCATAACTGACATCACATTACTGACTAGCTTAAGGGCATTGTGGACTTCTACCTGAATGTCTCTGCTGAGTACTAAAGCTGAAGAGAATTCAAAGAGGGAGGTGATTGATACAGGTGCAAAAGAACCCAATTATTTGTGTAGCAAGCCAGCTTCAATTTGTCCTGTTTGCACTGATATGAAGCAAACAAACAAGCTGTTCCTGGGAGATCAGTTTAAAGAATGTGCTAAATCATGGAGGACTGGGATTCATAGGAATGAGATCATACAGACATTGGAATTATGCTTGCCTCAGCTAGCATAAAGATCTTAAAAATGTGCCATCATGGTAAATGAAACAGAGGATGCCTGATCCAAGCTCTATTAAAGCCAGTACAATGCCATCTTTTGGTTTCAGTTGGCCTTCATACAGGCTTGTGGATCAGACTGGTTTGACAAAGCATCTGAATGGTAAAAAATGTATATCTGAAAGCTGTAAGAAATATGGCCCTCCAGGTTTGAGCTGCAGTCAAGTGCTTTTGTATATTTTTATAGATCTTCATGCATATCTTTTATTTCTTTTTAGCATTTTCTAGAAATCTGCATGTAAAACCTGACTTGTTATTTCAGCATTCTGTATCCAGTCCCAGTTATACCTTTTATAAAATCCATATTTTCCTCCCACCTTTAGAACAAATAAAATCCCACTTCACTCACACTGGTCTTTCAGAATCTAAGCAAGAATTTGGTTTGAATTTGGTCTGAGATATTGCCATAGTTCCCATTCGTCTTTCTTGCTGAATATTCTTCAGTTCTTAGAAATTCTCTGAACCAACTTCAAATGAGCTGTTGCTGACTTACAGCAGTTTCAGACCTATTTTTCTGCTTGCACAGTGACTGTGTTTATTCATTTCCTTTTCTCCTACCTTTAATGTACATTACTTTAATGTACGCAGACTCTCAAATTCTAGTTTTTAGCATATTTAGTCTAACTGGAAGTCCTGTTAGCTCGTGGGGACTTTGTGTGGGTTGAAGTATTTATGTTTTCTACACAAGGCAGTTCAGATTTATTTTAACTTAGTGCATTCCAGTGAGGAGATTTGTTTATATGAATGTTTGCTGCCAACATCTAATGCCACCTTTGTTTACAGCTCATATTTTTTCTGACATAAGGAGACTATAGAATTTTGATATATTAAAAAAATATTATCCAGCAATGCCAAACGCATGAGCAGTTTTACATATGTAGACAGCTTTTGCACAGTGTTGATTGCATTTCAATATGAAGTGGCTTGCATTTTTATTCGGCTGATGGATTCTGATGAACATCTAACACTGAGCAAGAGAGATGTGAGTGTTGCACATATGGGAAAAAGAGAGGGTTTTTTAAAGAAAGTAAGAATGGAACAAGCTATTTTATTATGACGATGGAACTGTTTCTGTCTTAAATCATTGTTTTTGCAGGTGCAGCCTTCATCACTGACTCATTCTTTCAGTACTGGATGATGCTCTTTTCCAAAAGACAGCTTGAACATCATCCTTTATAAGGGTCAGAGTTGTGGCTAAGTGTTTGAGTCAAGGCCTGAAAGTTTTCCTATCTGTGAAAATCTACTGTAGTCAGCTAGTTCCATCTTGGCTCTGACTAATTGCCTAGCAATGATAGAAATTTCCAATAATCCAAGAAGGTCTTATTAGTTTTTATCTACATACATGCCTTGAATTATAGAGTTCATGACAGTAGGGATAGAATTACTGGGCACATTCCAGTGTTAGTTTAGGTCAGTGGTGTGCAAACGCTGTATCAGTGCGCTTAGGGACAATGTCTCTTTTCTGAGTCTTCCTCTTCTACATATCCACTAAAAAAGTGCTAGAGCTCTTTAATTTTGCTTTCCATGCCTGGTTGCCATCTTCTCCACTTACTCTGTTATTCCAGTCTGAAGCCTGTCCCAAACTGACGCTGATTTGTATTACATAATCCTTTGTTAAAAGGACTGTTGCCCTTTCCAGCAAGGTGAACTATGCTTTCTCACATCTGAGACTGACTTTTAGCTTTGAATATCAGCTCCATTGAAAGGCTTTCCAAATAGGACCTACTTAATTTAAAAAAAACTCAAACATTCATTAAATGAGGTGTTCCTGAATCACAACTTGTATCATTGTCATAGATAAAATTCCATTTAAATTTCTATTATGTATAACATAACAATATTAAAATATTGTTTACAACATTTCTTTAGGGATCTTCATGCTTTCTTGTCTTAGTGATTTGTTCTCAAAACCTAACAAAATATGTACCTCTCAGGAAACTAAAAGAATGTATGAGATTTTATTAAAATCCTAACTCTTGATCCCCAGTTTATGTAATGGGAAGTTGATAGTAAATGCAGTTTACCAGTATTCTTTCACTCCATCAGGCTGAACTGCTTCAGATGAAAAAACAGGCTCTGGAAACCAAACACTTTATAGAAAATCAGGAGGCAGAAGAGAGAAAGCTCCTAAAAATCATTGCTGAAGCTGATGCCGAGAGGCTGAAGCAGAAGAGGGAAACTGACCAGGTAGGAATCTCTGATTTGGCTTTTCAAACACTCTGCATTCTGTTCCATCATTTGTCCAGTGTGTTTTTAAGATCAACATCCTCAGCTACTGTAAATGTGGTACTACTAAAGCTTAAAGTATAGCCATTGAAAGAAAAATGTTAAGAACACTGAAGTGAGTGGAATATGTAGCTTATGCTACTCAGGCAGGTGAACCCTTATAGGGGAAGCTATTGGGCCCTTGCCGTATTTCTTTCACTAATACCTGTGAAACCTCTTAACGCACATGATTTTGACTGATGCAAATACAGTCATGATCCTTTGGGATTGTACTGAGGACCTATAACTTGAGAATATTGGTTTGCCCTGAGTCCTTAGGTTATCAACGAGAGAGATATCCTTGGATCTCAGCTTGTTCAGCGCAATGATGAAGTGGCTCTGCTCTATGAAAAGATTAAAATTCAGCAGTCCATTCTAAACAAGGGTGAAAACCAATATAGACAGAGAATGGAAGACATCCAGCTTCTCAGGATGGAGATCAAAAAACTTCGGCGTGAGAAGGGAATACTTGGCAAAAGTGTGGCTAATGTGGAGGATCTCAGGTAGAAAAACTTGATTAATACATTTCCATAGTGACTGCCTCCATGATTCTGTGTTTGAGACAGGAAATATGTTATATGCATTGTAAAGATTTTTATCAACAGCATTATGCCTTGGAGAAGGGAATTGTTTGGTTCAACCTCAAACACAGACTGTATTAAATTCCTGAAATAACAGCAATTAGGAAAATTAAAATATAAGAAGGAGGAAAAAAGATCTTGGCCAAAGTTGAAATGGTTTCCATATTTCTCCTTGTACTGTGAGTTACTGCCTACAGACTAAACTTGACAGACAGCAGCAGAAAAGATGTTCATAGTTCAGTGAGCTACTTAGTTGTACCCAAGGCCCAAATTAGTGGAACTGCTTTTTATTAGGCAATCCACAGAGGATGAGGAACGGTTGACATATTTATAACAAACCCCTGCACATTTTCACAGCTCTTTTCTTCCAGATTTATATGAAGACTTGCTCTCTGAGAAAGATTTAGTTAAATTTTCATTGAAGGTTGTGTTTCTTTAAAACAGAAGTTTAATAGCCCCAGCCTGATTTATCTCCTCCTTCTCTGGCTTAATGCTTCCTTTCTCTTTTTAACCCTCCTGTATTAGAGGCGTATTCTTTGCTGATGGGAAACTATTGTCATTTTCTACAGAATCAGTCTTAGTTTGTAAGGAGGGGCAGCTATGTTTTTAGCAGACAATTGTCATACTAATTCTATGTAGCTACCACAGTGTTGGGTGAGATCTTTAGTTTAACTGTATCGGTACAATTCCATGGCTTTCAGTAGAGCAAATTAACTTCAGTTGTGGTCAGTCCCATTGACTCCAGTGGAATTATGCCAGTTTGATTAGGTGTGACAGAAAAGCGAATTGGGCAAAAAACATTAGCAATTGCAGTTTTCATTGACTGACTGCAGACAGGAATAGGATTTGAACTTGCTGCCCAAATGCATTCAGCTGAAAGCCTGTTACTGTATTGAAACTCGGTGACGGTATTGAAGTATAGTGCGATGCATGCCATGATGGGTGGATCAATTCTTGCTAACTGCAGCAGCAATCACATACTTCAATGAAGTCCAAAACCATCATGAAAACTGCCTGTTGAAAGACTCCATTTATCACTTGTGTTGGTAATTAGCTTTCTTGATTTGCCAATTGGAGATGTGGGTTGTTTTTTTTTTATCTCTTCCATAACCTTGTCCAACTTCACAGTTAAAAAAAGGTCTTTTTCTCTCCACTGAGCTAAATGCAACTCTGAGTTTAGTAGGAAAAGATTCAGTGGCAGAGTAGGCACATGGTGATTCTCCACCCCCTTTTGACCTTGGAGAACTTACAGAATCCGTCCACTAAAGTTATAAGGGTTGGACCATTGCAGAGTGTGCCTTTTCGTTCCCCTGCCCCTCGACCCCCTATCCTCACCATAAAAGCCTAGTTGTCAAAGAATTTTGGGAGTGCTCAATTAATTTTAAACACAGCAGCAAATCACCCCTGAAATTCCTTGAGGAGAACTAATAAAAGAAATCAAACTTGAGTTCTCTAAAGAACAGTGTCCATCATAGTTAGGTCCTAGAGTGTATTTTACTTACTGGATTCCATGGGCCATGTAGATTTCAAACCTTTTTTCAAGCACAAGCTGTTAGATTCAATACAGGACTAACTAGATATAACTCCATAACTGATCTGCAGGTTACTCTAGATGAATTAACTGTCCTTCTGGCCTTAATGTACATGGGAAGATACAGGCAGTGAGATCCACTAGGCTGTGATTCCCTAAGAAATGAAGAAAAGTCCCCTTTTTGAGCCAGTCTTGCTGAAGTGAGTGAAGAGGTCTAACTGTGTTATCTTATGGTTCCACCTGCTTAGTGGTATCAGTGTTTGTTGACTATTAATCACAAAAGTCACTTTGCTTGTGCTGTAGTGCATGGAAGAATGATTTGTTATCATCCAGATTAGCGCCTTGGCCACATTGATGTGGCTTTGGTGTGGTTTTTATCTTTTTGTTTTATGCTGGTCTTTAGACAGGAGATTCATCACATGCGGAAGGAACTATTAAGGGAGCAGACTCGATGCAAAGTTTTGGAAGAAGAACTGGAGAATCCCTTGAATGTTCACAGATGGAGAAAATTAGAGGTGACGTGTGAGCATTTCAAGTCCCCAAAGCCCATATTACTAAGCCTGTGACACAGCACAAAGCCTATTTCGTTTACTGTTATGCAAATCATGTGGAGGGGCAGGCAGACTGAAATTTCCATAGTACCAGTGGAATAGTTAACTGCTGAATGGTTTCCTTGCACAATGCAATCAGTGTTATTTTTGTGTTACTTTCTCAATGAAAAATTGCAGAGGGATTTGTAAAGAGCCGGTCAAATGCTAAAGGAAATAAGAATGCGTAAGGCGAATTTAGAAAGGGGTAGTTCCTTAACATGGATGATGAGAAAGAGGATGATAGGAGAAAGATACAACCCTACCCTCACCAATTAGGGAGATGTATATGGGAAAAAAAAGCCAGAATTAGAAAGGATTATATGCAGGTAAAGAACAGATATGGAGTCAAATAGAGGATGAATAGATATGAAGTCAAATGGTAAATTACATCTGTGAGAAAATGAAGAGGCCTCCACATAACGGTGGTGGGCTCCCAAAGATAGCCATGTCAGGTAATGCGAGTTCAGCTGTTATGTAAACAGCAAATCTAAATTTCACACTATTTGAACCTGCCAAATGAAGGAGAAAAATAAAAAAATCCGTCAAGCACAGACCAAATATATGAACATCAGTTGGCATCACTGGATATTTTCAAAGTCAAGGCTGGCTGAGACCTCTCTATTGTGTGGATCTTCGATCTGATGCCAGCCTGGGTTGCTTAGCTGCTCTAATAATGAGTGGTAACATGCTAGTCCCTACAGAAGCAGAGCTGAATATTTTGGCTGTGCTTACTAGCAGGATAGTTAATTTCTGACATCTTCATGCTGAGCTTAAAGCAGAACGGTGCATGTAGCTTTCCTCATGGAAGGGAGATGAAATGCAGGATGCTGAACTAGGTTAAAGACATCTAGCTACAATCTCCAGCAGCACCCTGCAACAAAGTAAAACCAAGCCAAAATATTCAGTGTTGGGGAAACAAATGCATGAAGGGACTGATACAGGAAATCACACCTTTCCATTCTAGGTTAGTGGTCTGTATTTGGAACACAAAAAGGCCAGCAGATATCAAGATCCATGTGAAATAATCCTCATAGGGTTTTGGTTCAATTCCTAATGAACAAACACACTTGTATCACTACAGTTGTCACAAATTGGCACCACTTTTGGGCAGTGCTATAAAACAATCAAGGACTGAGTAGGTCATGGGGACTGAACTACTTTATAGCCTGGTTTCTCAGGAGGTGATATGCTGTTGTGAGTGCTGCATGTGTATCTGTGTTAGTGTCCTGGTTACACTTGAATTGATTAGTCAATTTAGGTAATATCAGACAAAAGATTAAGAGCCGTGAGATACCTTATAAGCTCAAGCAAATATACAGAGAGCAGGACCTTATTGGTGCCTTTACTGCAGCGTGAGTCTACTTCTTATGAGACATCACACGAGAGAGGAGAAACCACCTGGGAGAGGTGTTGTGGATCCCAGAGTGGGGAAAAGCTTCTTTCAGAGTTTGCTCTTCATTAAAGGATCCAGCAAGAAGACAGAACGTGGTGGGAATGTAAGCTTTGCTGGCTTTTCCTCACAGAATTATTTATTATTATTGGATGTTTTGAGGAAGTTTTATGAGGGTAACTGTTAAACATAAACATGCTCCAACAGATCTTCAAGAGGCAGAGCTTCCAGTTCCAGGACTGCTTGTATACTTGTAATTTAAAAAAATAGTCAACACTGCCCTCCCCCCTTTTATATTTGTCACATTTGAACACTTAGATATTATGTTCTTCATTTCCAAGAGAGAAACACTAACTTGTTATTAATTGTTATTATTAAGTATAATTTTTGAGATTGCTTTGTTCTTGTCTAGGCCAGGGACCCAAGTACCTATGAGCTGATTGAGAAAATACAAAGACTACAGAAGCAGCTTATCACCAAGACAGGTGAAGTGATAGAGAAAGAATTGCTCCTTCAGGTACTGCAGCATCATTATTTGGTTGTATCTTAATAACATATTTGTCTTACCCTGCATTCTCTGTCTACTCAGATGTGCTTCCTGAATGTTATTTAGATGCATGACTTTGAATTTCCTTTGCATGCCTTTTAGGTAGCTTTAGATGGCAGCACTGACTCAGTGAAAGAGAACAAATAGCATCTGATTAGTTGATTTTTATAGTCTGGTCACTGTTACCTGGACAACTCTGAGGGGGGAAAAAACCAAAGAGAACTAAAAAATGGATTGCTTTAGTTTCTTTATGTAATAGATTAGTCTTCAAGTCAGTGTTAGACCTTTGGAAAGGCATTTTTGTCCTTTTAAACATGTCTGTTGTGACCGGAACATGAAGGAAAATCCTTGTTTGATACCACTTGTGCTTAGTTTGGTTTTTGGCAGAAGGAATACTGCGGAGTTTGTGTGATTTAGGTATGCTGCTGATTGCGCCGTATTTGTCTTCAAGGTCTTCATGCTGAACTTTGCCAAAAAATAGTTTTTGTGATAGTTTATATTTTTTAATTGTATCTGATGTCCCTTAACGCCAGTGATACCAGTGAGATTTACATCGTAGAATCAAGGAGACACTACATTCCTGTAGTGCAAACCTTGCTATCAAAAAGGACCATCTTTGGGCTTCAACCATAGGTGTAAAACTGTGAAATTTATCTCTTTTCCCCTAATGACTGCAGGGATAGCTACAGTTTGCCAGCTCTAGGTATGATTTTAACGTTTTGGTCTTAAAAACCCTAATAGTCTTGAAGCCTATGTTGGGTGTTGCTCAATGAAGAGTAGAATGTGACCTGAATCTCCCTCTGTTTTGAGAAGCAGCTCAGCAGATGTTATCAAGGCTGAGTTTGTCTCTATTTATCTATTGTTTTGTAGGAAAAAATGGATCTGCAATTTCATTTGAAGGTAATGTATGGTGTATTATGCCTTTGCTTGGAAAAATTTAATCTTTGCGGCATAGCACTGCTGCACACTGAAATGCTGTCAGTGAAATAGTTTGTAAGCTTAAACAAAATGTAGCAAAAATAGCTTCAATTTTACTGTTATACCCATGCACAAATCCACTTCTGATAGATTTTTATGTAGTCTCTACTGCGTATCTTGCCTTATCCTCTGTGTGCTTCCATTTAGCTATTGTCCTTATTTAGAAATGAAGAACTGAGATACAGAAGTATTAAATTGTCTGCCCAAGAAAATCTTTGAAATGATAGGTAGCTGAGCCTATGTTACTATACTGGCCATTGGCACAATCTGTCTATGCAGCAGTCCTTCTATGGTAACTCTACTATTTCTGGATTTGGTTTTTTCTGTTTTCCTGGATTTAAGTCAGAGTTTGGCCATATAAAATTTAATTATTACACCTAGAATTGTTAATGAGTTCCTTTGCGTCCTTAATTCAGGCACCAGTTTCCTGTGCAACAATGCTGAATTGAAGGTCTCCCTCAGAGTGACTGACAGTAAAGAGAAGGCCAAAATACCATGCTCTGCATTCTGTTCAGGGCTTTATCATCAACATTTCTGATCTCTTTTCTGTTTTGCCACAGTGCTTTTGAGTCCTCCACAATGACTGAAATAGGACTTTTTTGTAGCACGGTGTGGGTAAGGAAAGGTAACCACAAATGGAGCTGGTCTCCCTGCTCATTTCCTCAAAAGGATTTCCTCCTGGGTAGGTCATTGGTGTAGGAGTTGCAAGTTAAGTGTTCTAGCTAGGCTTCTTCTGCTGTGTCTGGATAACCTTGTACAAGTACTTTCATTACTCTTTGGACAGGTTTTCCTTGGTATGATTATAATATCTGTTTTGTAAAGCGATACTCTGATGCTCACCAAAGCAAAATGCTCACTAATAGCTTATGAAACTCATGCTATCATGCTCCAGCACCTCCAGCAGCAGGAAATGAATGGAGAGCAGTAATGTTAACTTTCCAGAGGGAACTGAGCTGTACACAGCAGGAGGGTTACTCCACCAGACCTTCTTCTGTGCACTGTATCCTTATTCAGTAGAGAGTGTAGGGTTTGATCCTGACTAAAATTTAGAATTGTGGGAAAATGCAGCAATTTAGCTGCCATTTCTGGAATTTTTAATTTTTGTCCCATCAGTATAATTCGTTTTGGTTAGTGAGTTTGCTGTGTGGTCTATACAACAGCCGGTGTATAAGGCACTGCTCCTCTGTCAGGTGTAATAATTCCTTTTTTATCCCCCCCTCCTCCTTTTTTAAATCCCCTCATGTTTAAAGGCATTCAGTATCTGTTCTTTTATGGGTCTCTTCTTGAAGTTAGTTCACTTCAGTTCAGTCTCTGCTCATTTGCAGGGGTAGAGGAATTGCTGATGACTTAGCCTGTGCATAGCTGGTGTAATATCCCCTGTATTTGGAGTCACAGACTGTGGGAGCTGAGGGATACAAACTTCCTAGTTCAGAGAACTACTGCTTTCCCCATGTTGAGTTTGCTTGCAGATTCACACCTACTAACTCCCAGTCATCTTCATCTACATCTTGCCCTATGACAAGGGTATAGCCATTGCATATATCTGCTTTAAAATTATCTTAATCTCTTGCTTGCTATGCATAACCATTTTTATGTGTGTGCGGCCATCATGCTGGCAAATAGGATATTTGCTGAAGGTGAAGCTTGCAAGTGCCTGTGTCTGTGATTTCTGTGTATGCATATTATGTAACTTAAATTCCCTCACATCAAAATGTAGTAATAAAATGGAGTGCAAAAAACCTGTGTGGGTTGAATATCGAGTATTAAAAACACCCTTGGAATTTAGAAATACCCTGTGACTGGAAATGGTTGAGCCCAGTGTCAGCAACGTGCAGTTTGATTTGTAGGGTATTCACCTTGCTGCATCCTCATGCAGAGCTGTAATGTTTGTATAAGGAAAAAATAATTCCCTTTGTACTGTGTGCACTGTAGTTCTGTCCCCTGACTTTTTGATTTTAATGGTCTTTTAAATAAAATGGTTTATGCAGGGAACAATGTTGCAGGATGAGCTGGATATATAGATGGAATTTTTTGCTAAGGATCACAGTATATAGATTCACGTGGAAAAGCATCTGCTTACTTTACCTGCTCCTGATGTGTATTTGATCATATCCTTTTTATTAGCTTTTTTGGTATTTCTCACCTGTTAGTTCTTTAGAAGTGATGCAGCTGGAAAAGCGTGCTACAATCCCTGCTATGTGGTTAAAAGATTCGCTATGTTTCAGTCAGAAAATTTTGATTGCTGACAGTACAGAAAGAACCCAGCTTGACTCTAAAATCCCATACAAAAATATCTTTTAACATGTCAGCAGGGCACATTTTTTGTGTCAGACATTAACTGAGAGGTATTGAATATGCAACATGCCGAATGTTGGTTTTTTAGAATGACTTTTCAGAGTTGAACACTTTAATAAAGTGTAGAAAGATATCCCATATTACAGAAATTATTAAACTCTTTTCGTGTTTCTGATTTATCTGTGCCCTGTAGCCACAGCATCTTGGGTTATAACCTATCAGCTCTCATACTCCAAATAACTGTGGACATCCTGAGACTTTGAAGAGTAGCTGCAAAGCAGACCGTCATGCTTTCTCCTTTAACTCAGGCGTTCCCACAGGTGTGAGCTGCTCTGCTGATGAAAAATGCTGTCTTAAAAATCAGATCTAAACCCAAGGTCTTGAATACTTACGGTCAATAAAAATCCAAAGGCATTTTTGCCGAACACAGGAAATGTTACTTCAGGGTTGTCCAGCTTCCATGTTTGAGTCATTACCTTCCTTCTGAATCTGTGCAGTTAAGATACAGCATTTGTTTGGTTCTTTTTCTGAACTGTTGATTAATACTGCAGGACTTTGTGGAGAAATACACTGGTAACCAAGGAATTTCAATGAGGGGTGAAGATATTTGGGAACACGTGTGGTATGAACAAAACGTGTTGTGTGTCCATAAGGTATAATTAGTAATAAATAGAAGTGCTCTGCTGAGCAAATTCCAACTGCAAAAAAAACACTTGCTCACTTTGCATGTGGGGCAAATCCCTCACATGCCTGAAGCTCTGCTGCATACTGAACAGGGATGTGGTAAACTCACAGTGTAATGGATTACCTTGTTAGGATTATGATTAGTGTGGTTTTAGGAATTTATCCCATTAAAAGTGAATTATGCACTGCTTTATTTGTTTCAAATTTAGTTCTTTCTCTTCAGAGTGAACTACTCTAATTTGATTTTATGTCTGACTGAGCAGAATTTTATTCAGCTGCACGTCTCGGAAAGCATAACAGTGGGAAGATTCACATTACATGTCAGTTACCTCTGTTGTCAGTCATCTCAGAAGATTGTTCATAACTGTAAAAGAGAGATGTGCAACCAAGATTATTTGTGAAGGGAGGCAAAGGCAAATGTGTTTCATTTAAGCCTTGCACATAGTAGAGAAAGTATTGTTTTTCTGTACGTATGTATTTTTAATCACCATTGTTTTAAGTTGTCAGCATTCGGTGTGCAGGACTGGGCAGTCAGGAGGTGATGCTTCCAGACTGCTAGCATGTTGAGCTCATACTTTCAAAGAGTGCAAGGGCAAAAGGCGTGATTAGCTCATATATCTGACTCAGAGATTACAGCAAGATAGCACCCACATGTCCTTTGTATTGAGCCAAGTTTTCAGTTAGGTTTCAGTCCCCCCAAAGAGCTGATGGTCCCACTGACAGAGAGTAGGAGGAGTAGAGGGGGTGCTGCTGTCTCCAGTATTTATCAGTAGAGTTTCATTTTAGGTTTTGTAAGACACAGGGAGGAGAGAGTGAAAGAGACTTTCTCTGCGACCTTGGGCAGGTTACTTAGCTTTTGCACAGCAAGCAAAAAGGGAATAAAATAATTTCCACTCTTATAGTGGTGTGTGAATGAATATATTAGAGACATGACTCACTTCAGTAGTAACAATAGCTAGCTAAACACTCAAAATAGGCAGATGTTTTATGGCGTTTGTGCTAACTTGGTAGTA